CCTTCGGGTGGTTCTGAATAGCCTCGAAGAAGCTTAATATGGGAAGAGAAACTGCCTTTGAATCAGGATTATTTATAGCTACTCCCAAAACAAGGAGAAGAAAAGTTTAACTTTCTTACAGCGTTAGACTTAACTTATTTTTTTCTCTGAAGACTTGTTCTGTGCCTTCCTCTGAACAATACGTGGTCCCTGCGTTTGCCTTTTAAGTTTCGGAACCTTGGTTTATTTATAAAAGAAAGAGATGGAGTTTTGCAAGCCATCTTTAAGTGGATTACAGTTAACCAGAGCGCTGCTGAAAGTCGCGTTCAGCCTGCTGGGATGCTTGCTTGGAAATTTTAGTCTGGAAATCTCAGCTGCAAAATTAGAATAAAAAGGGAAATAGACTGACAATGGAATGTCCTGAGTGTTTGAGCCACTGTTAAGTGTTTATTTGTTTTCTTTTTTTTTTTTCTGTGTTTCGGAGTGTGTGAAAGGGAACGTGGGAGGCTGGGGGGAGGGGAGGAAGGAGCGTTCTGTTCTCTGTTGTTGAGGCACTTTGTTTTTTAGACTCACTCTGAAACAACCAGGTAAAGGGATAGTTACACTTAGACTGGTGCACTGATGCTGGCCTTCAGCCGCTCGTCGCTTCCAACCTGTGCTATTTGAGATGTGTCTTGGTGCTGAAGACACTCGATAGTTCTGTTCAGAAGCGAGCTTTGCTGCAAGATGCTCTGCCTTATTTCCTGCTGTCTGTGTCGAGAGCTGCAATATTTGTTTTGACTGTCTTCGTCATGGGGAAGCCACTGAGCAGGCCGGACTGTTTACGTCAGAATCCCCCATGTATGGGGAAGGGTGAGGAAGAGGAGGACCTGAACATCGAGGACTGTTACGTCCCGCAGCGCTCCATCTATGACACGGTCAGGCTGAACGAGCAGATCGACTCTGGTTCCAAAGGGAGCCTGTCCTCCAGGCATTTTACAGACAGGACTCTGCCCTACAGTCACCGAACACTGGACGTGAGCTCTCTGTGCTCCAACGGTGCCCTGGCTCCCTCCAGCGTGTTTGAGCTCAGAGGCCGTGAAGCCCACAAGCTAGATGAAAAGATGATCTTTGATGCCCTCAAGCTCAATAGCGATATCGTCCGAACGGCAGGGTTACCCAAAGCCAAACCCCACGCGGAAAAGAGAGAGCACAGACGGTCCTGGCGAATGTTTGTTCCAGCCAATCTGATGGATTACGCGAACAAAAGTGAAAGCTCTTTTGTGGAACCTACTGATGTGTCAGATGCTGTAACCAAGGTGGGCAGGTGCAGGTGGGGGACTAACTCCCTCACGTCGGAGGAGGAGGACTCCGGGTTGTGCAGCCCTCCGGCAGAGAGGGAAGAAAAACAGGGCATTTTAACCGGAGACCAGTCACACACGAGAAGCCTGTCTTCGGCTGAAGACATTCACACAGCGGAGCAACAGGCACCCTTTTTTTCTGCCAGTTCCGTCAGCGAACACCAGATGCCCCTGCTTTCGTGTGGAAGCGCCCACCCCGACGAGAACTTCAAACTGATCTTACAGGAGGCTTTCCCACTAGAGGAAACAAAACATGCACACGGTCCAAGGGGGATCTGGGCTGAAAATTGCTGCCTGAGGCACGATTTCAGAGAGAGCACCATTCAGTGTGACCCATCTCTTGGCACAAGAGATGGGGAAAGCAAGTGTATTTCTAACCCTGGAGAAGAAGGGAAGACATACAGATCGGGGGAATTCCACATCGCAGCACACAGGAGGGAGCTGATGGGAGGGTCTCCCGAGGACTTGGCTCTGTCTCACCCTGATCTGGGGGGAAATGATGGAGATCATGGTAGTGCAAGTTTAGTGGAAAACCTGACACTCTTGACACAGTGTGATTCAGAAGAATCCAGCGTCGCATCTAAAGAGGAAATGGAGGTGTCCCTTTCTGACCAGGAGATGGAGGTGATCTATATGGAGTGCTCCCCGAAATTCAGAGCGGTAAAAAGGAAAGCGGCTCCCAGAAAAACAAGGGCGCAGGTGGGAATATTGGATACCGTCTGTAACGGCTTTCCCTCCGGTCAGGTAATTAGTGAGAATGGGGAACTATGATACCGAAAGTCTGTGGTTCTGTTGTAAAGGGGTCACTGGTGTTTCTAATAATGATCAGTCCAGTCTTTTATTGGGGGCGGGGCTTGACTGGTACCCTCCAAGATGGTAGCTGTTGCTCAGTTGACCAAGACAACAGATTAACTAGGGGACCGTCTTTGAGAAGGATCATTCCCAGCTGTTCATAGAGTCCCGCTACTGATGGTGGAAATGGTGGCTGTCCCCCGTCACTTAGAATGCCTCCACTGTGGATCTTTGTCAACCTTGGGCTTTTACACAAATTGTGGTCTAAGACCCTGCCATTTAAGGGCAGTTATATTGGATTTATTAAGCTCGAACAGGCTTAGTCATGAGAGTACAAGCACAGTGTTATATTGTTGTGGTCTGAGAAGTGCTCCCCGCAGAGTGAGGACTTTGGAAATGTGCTGAGAATGTTCCCCCGGGGGCTGGGCGTGTGGGAGGGGAGACGTTCCCGTACCCTATTCTGCAGTCGTGACAGATTCGGACTTTCTGTGAGTGGTGAGTGAGGTAAGAAAGTAAAGGGTGCAGCCTTGTCATAAGGAGAGGTTGTCTGTCCAGCCTGTAATTTTTTTCTTCCCACTTAGATTGAAGTTCAGCTATATTTGGTCCTTTTCTCCTAGGCTCTTCTGGTAAACTTTGCCTCAGAGGTAATTGCGTTTTATTTTAAGCTTCTCTTGTGTTTGTGTGCTTGTGGGTTCCATTTGGGGGAGTGGCTCTCTCCCTAGGTATTTTGTTACTGAGAGATAAGGAATTTGGACAATACCAGAAAAGCTCCCGTTCTCAGTCTGTGAAATCATCGCTCTTATCAGCGATGCCCTTTTCTGTGAGTGTGCGTGAAATGGCACGCTAGTTTCAAAGCTCAGCAAAGTCCTTTTTTCCTGTGAAGGGTTTTGCAGTTGATTTGTAGAAAGTAATTGAACTCTTAGGAGTATATAAATTAGTGGATGTCTTTTTTTTTAAACCCTTAGTGTATTGGGGGGGCGGGGAGCTGTTTAGAAAATGACCACTAACTCATCTAGAACTCCTCTGTTCATTTCTGTAAAACCAAGACTAGAGGTTAAGGCAATTTACTGGATCATTTTTATTAGTTTTTTTTTCTTTTTGCCCTGAAAATGAGCTGCGAGGGAGAATAAAACGTTCCCCTGAATTCTTAGATACCAGACAAGTCCCTGGAATTAAAAATGTAGCAGTTTTCTTCCTTCCCCTCTTTTTCTGTAAGTAGTAAAACCTGTCTACAGCTGTTAGTTCGAGAAGTAGTAACTTAAAAAGTGGTAAAGAAAAATTGTAGAATCAGTCATAGTGCCAAACTCTGTTTTTGCTACCTCGCTGTAAGTTTCTATTGACTTAATAGGGAAATTAATGCCTTTTTAAAAAAAAAATGAAAACGTATGTTTTTTTTCCCCAGTGATTTGGGGAATTCTTACCTGTTTAGCTGTCATTGACTTTGTATATTTAGGATTGTTATATAGAAACAGTTCACCAGTGTGGAAATGGTACGGATTTTCTGTGGACGAAGACTTTGGGGCTTTTTGCTGAGAGAGGACTTTAAGAAGAGATGATTGCTTATTTGCTTGCTGTTCCTTGCTTTCCTCATTCACTCCGTAGCACGGACGTATCCAGTGTGCTAGGCTTGGACCAGAGTCTGGGGAGTTTACCTCTTGCTGCCTCTGCGTCTTTTAAAATTAGTTCCCGTACTGTGCCTATAACTTTTTTTCAAGTACCATTTTGATACCTGCTTTTATCGTGTTTACATATATTCTGTGTTAACTGTTCATTCACCTGGACTGTCAGTGTATTTACATCGTGGCCTGGAGTGTAATGACTCAGTGCCCCACACCTTGTCTTGCCTTGTCATCCAGCTGAAACTTGCCTTCCTCAGTTAAGCTAACTGATTCCCCTCATGGCCTCCTTCAAGCCCCATGCTAAGAACGTTTGTATTATCTGTGAAAGAGTCGATGTGCCTCCCCTGTACTATCTGTGGAGGACTTATCCTCATTCACCTCAAGGTATAAATAAAATTTTCGATGCTGGTAATCATTTGGCAAATAATTACAAGCTTGGTACTGTGGTGGGTCTTGGGCATGGGCTTGCTATAAGGGAAAAAGGAATCTGTGCTTTCATGAAACTTGCGTTTTACTCTAACACGTTAATTAGGTCTTTCGCCAGTTACGGGCAATGGGGCCTGCAAATTGGATGGGATGGAGAGTCGTTAGGGAGGCTGCTGGAAAACCACTGACCGTGCAGGCAGTGACCGGAGAGCGACCAGAGTTGCTGTGCTGGTGATGTGTGATCAGGTCCAGGAGGGGAGGTCTCTGTGTTGCTTGCAAGCCACGCCCATTGGCGTCTTGACAGACCCTGAAGGGTGGATGTGCAGGGATTCACACTATTCCAGTGCCCGCTTGCACCATTTTTCTGTTCCTGTCCCGATATTTGGCCCCTCCAGTTCGCCTCATCATCTTGTGAGTGGATCCCACTTCCAATTTGAGTGTCATTTGCCAGCAAGCAGCAGGCGTCCTTCGAGAGCCTGTTAGGGCCCATCGTATCATTTTGCTCCTTAGCATTTTCTGTACGTTTTTTACTAGAGTTAAACTGGAATGATGGGAAATTCCTAGTGCTATGATAATGAAGCGATGGAGAGAAGTCTTATGTACTCTTCTCTTGGTTTCATAGGTAATCTGATTAAATGCACTTGGAGTGTCATCCTTTACTATTCCTGAGTGGTTTTGATAACACTGTGAATTTGTATTTAGCTCATTCTCTTACAGTTCTTCGCAGGGCAGCAGCAACATGTGAGTAGGCAGCAGAGCTTGCCTTGATCTCCTGATGAGCAGCTGTTCTGTGGGCTGCTTGTTAGGCCTACAATTCATGTAACTGTTGCTCTTCCGACTGCAGGTCTTCCAGAAAGAAGAGATTGAACCCTTGCAGGTCAAGCAGCAGGATGTGAACTGGCTGGGTCAAGGCCTCATTCAGAGTGCGGCCAAGGGCGCGAGCACCCAGGCTCTGGAGCGGGACCTGGACGATGCCAGTACGCGGTGGAAGACCCTGAATAAGAAGGTGATGCCTGCGTCCCCCTTCGTTGCCTGTTGGTGGCTCTCGAGTTTGTTGTGACTGTACTTAGAGTAGCCAAGCTCCCCGAAAACCACCCCCTCTTTGACATCACTGGGACCTGGCTGGCCCACATTTGATGCCCAAGGGACTCGATAGGCAGCATAAACGCAGGAAGCGAGCTGGGTGGGACAGGGTCCCCCTCAGAGCAGGGACCCGGCCATGCAGCTGTGACGGCCCTGGGCTGGGGGAGCACGTGCACCTCGAAGGGCACAGATCAGTGCCACGCAGAGGCCTGGGCCCCCTGTCACCACATCGTCAGCTGACTTGCAGAAGAACTCGGAAATCTCAATTCTAACGTGAAACCTAATTTTCAAGAGTCAGCCACCCACTCCGCACTGTATCATAGGTCATGTGGTGCAGGTCACAGCCCCTGTGAGCCTGTCTGCCCTGGATGAAAGATTTGCCTCCTCCCTAGAGATCGTGAACCCCAAATATCATTTTACTTGTAAGATGTGGCTCCCATCTTTTTCTAAACCATGACGGAAAACACTGGAAAATATGCTCCCGTGTCTTAGGGATCCTTCTTTAAAGTCCGATTCATATCTCAGTGGTCCCCAGACACAACTGGGCGGCAGTGTGAGGTGGCAATATAGTCCACGCCGCTTAAAATACCTTGCCGGCGGCTTTTGCAGACCAAGCAGAAGAGACTTTTGAGAGGGGGTATGGGATATCTCTGTGCAGGACACAGAGACTCCGTTTACTGGAAGACAAAGGCCCTGGATTGTCAGGAGGGGACTCGAGAGCTAGAAGCTTGCAGAATTTAATTGGTTACTTGGTAGTTAGTTGGCCTAGCAAAATGTAATTCTGATTCTCTGTACGATAATGGTTTTTTAAAAATATAAGTCTCTTTTGAAAAGTCATTGTCCTTGATACTCGTCAGTAGGAAGTAACAGATGAATCCCAGGGATAATGAGAAAAATGAAGAAGGCATTGTTTGTTTCAGTAACCTTAAAATATTTGAACATTGATTGCTAATCATAAAGGACATTTCCGAGACCTCAAAGGTCTCCCTTTTGCGTTGAGTGGTTGGGGTGGTAACTGTATCTCCTCGGTTTACTTGCTAAGTTGTCTCTTTCCCATCCCTGTCCTGCCCACTGTCAGTGCTTTGGGTACATTTGAAGTGGAAAAGGAAAGAAAATTTGGGACCAAATGGGAAGATGGGTGTGGACATTGCTGGACGGTGGGGGGATCTTATTTTTGTGAACAAAGCAGATCATTTGAACCCCCCTCCCCATGACTGTGCAGGTCGCCCAGCGAGCAGCCCAGTTACAGGAGGCCCTCCTGCACTGCGGGAGGTTCCAGGATGCACTGGAGTCCCTGCTCAGCTGGATGGTGGACACCGAGGAGCTGGTGGCCAATCAGAAGCCCCCGTCCGCCGAGTTCAAGGTGGTGAAGGCCCAGATACAAGAGCAAAAGGTAAGGGAGCTTTTGTTTGGTTCCATGTTAAGTATTGATGAGAGTAAAAATTTACCATGTGACTAGGATATCCTAGGTAACTGCTTATCAATGCTCTAGGCATTATTCTGTTAGTCATTCAACAAACATTTATTGACCATCTGCCGCAGGTCAGCCATGGTTCCAGGGGCTGGAGATACAGGGTGAATAAAAACGATCAGAGTTCCTCATTGAGTTTCAGGTTTAGTGGGAAGGGAGGAACAGGGAGAGACAATAAGTGGAGTAAACAAGTCAGTGGAGATACATTAGCAAGTGATAAACAAAGCAGGAGGGAGATAAGGGTTAGGAAGTGACAGGTAAGGGTGGCCGACAGGAAGTGCTGAGTGGAGTGGGAGTGTGTGCAGTTTTAAAATCTAGAGAACTCCCGGGAGACCTCACTCACCGAACAGGTGACTTGGAGCAGAAATACCCTTGTTCCCCCATACAGTTGGTTGCTGCATGTGAAGTTGCCTTTTTTCTGGATTCAGTATGGGCAGTTTCTTACGCTTCAGCCTGTACTAATGAGGCAGAAAGCTAATTCACACATGCTGAGAGTGCTCTGCTGTCTTTAAAAAAAATTTTTTTAAATTGAAGTGTAATTGATTTACAATGTTAGTTTCAGGTGTACAGCAAAGTGATTCAGTTATACACATACGTACATACATATATTTTTTCTTTTCAGAGTCTTTTCCATTATATATTATTACAAGAAACTGAATATAGTTCCCTGTGCTAGACAGTAGGTTCTGGTGTCTTTTGACACCGCAAACACAGGACCAGGTTGGAAGGACACTCCTCAGAGGGATGGTGACTACTTGGAGCCACACGTACAACTTTCATGGTCAGTTAGGAAGCATTTAGTGACCTTTGCGGTATTAATTTATCAGCCGTGACTTGAAGTGACAGAAAGCGGGGGGGACACCTGTCACACAGCACATTGACAAGGTTTCTCTTTGGAAAGAAGGGAAAGGATTAAAAGGCTTAACTGAGTTTTAACATTCAGTGCTACTCTGTCTAAAAATTCTCTCAAGTCTTTATAATGTGGGAAAATTAACCTATTGGAAATAGATTTAGCGATGAGGATTAAAGAAACATAACAGAAAACACACTGCATTTGTGTAATTTTTGGAAAAAACTAGTATATGATATGTAATAAAATAATTTATAGTTTATGTAATTTATAACAAAGTATAATGATGTATTTTATAATTTTTATAATATACTTAATGAATAGAATAAACAGATATAATATTTTATGATGTGGTGTAATATAACTGTGACCATTCACGATTTAATTTAAACTTTCATTATTCTCCCAGAGTTGATAACCTGTGACTAACCGACAGAACCTGTTTGTTGACTCTGCCTTCTTCATTGCTAGGGCCTCTGATGTAACGTTTACCCCAACTAGTCTCCTTAATTGTTCTTTTTACTGGCTGAGCCACCTGTCGTGCTTTGTATAATGACTCCAACCTGTGTCAGGAGAGGGCGTATCCCCCCTTCTCTTTGAACGCTTTCCTCTCCCCACTGCTGGGTGGTCTTGGTCTCAGAGTGACCAGGAGAGGACACCCTTCCAGCTTGTCACTTCCGGTGACTGTCCGTGCCCGTCCGTCCGTAAGCATCAGTCAGGACAGGGTCCGGGAAGCAGCGGGGTCCCCAGGGGTCTGTACACCTGTGCCTTCCCCGCCACTCTCAGCACAGCGCCTGTGCCCTGCACACTTGCCCTGAAATACTTGTTCTGATTCCTTTGGAGGAAGGTAATCCGATTTCTGGCTCCCTGTGTCAAGCATTCCATTCCAGCCTTCTTGCAGTGAAGAATTAAATTGAATTCTTTTTTTTTTTTTTTTTTTTGCTGCTGCTGCTAAATCCTGAAATATTCATCTTATTTAGCCAGCTTTGGCGATTTCTGCCACGTTTCACCCTGTTTTCATTCTGGAGATGGTATTTCAAGGCTCTTGTTAGTTTCCACCCTCATAAAGGACTTTAGGAGCCAGTCCAACCTTGTAAAAGGAGCCAGGAGCCTCTCATTTTAGCCTCAGTAGCTCGTGAACTTGGTCCCAGTCTCAGCTTCCCTGTCTGTTATGATGGATTGGCTAACGTGGGAAGAGGTTCTGAAAGCAGCAAAGATTTGTGGTGGCTTTTTCTGTCTCTGTTGGACAGACAGTGGTTGGGAGCCTAGGGCATCCCCGTTTCATTGCAGTAATGGGGATTTTGCACTTTTCAGTGCAGCGGAGTCTCCCCCGTGGCACCTTCTACGCCATTATTGTATATTAAAAAACAAAGTAATGAATGGTTTAGTGGCCTTATTGATATTAATTTTATTTTTTATTTTTAAAGCTGTTTTTACATTTATTTTTTAATCTTATTTATTTTTTAAATTATTTTTTGGGACGAGACATAATTAGGTTTATTTATTTAATTATTATTATTATTTTTAATGGCGATACTACGGATTGAACCCAGGACCTTGTGCGTGTTAAGCACGTGCTCTCCCACTGACCTGTCCCCTCCCCCGATGTTAGTTTCATTTACTACGAAAAGCCCCCACCACAGTGTCTGACATAGTAGTAGTAATGAATCATTAAACAAAATGAGTTTTTTTTTTCCAGTCCTACTTCTCAGACCCTTTTTGTGTGTGAACCCACACAGAATTCTTTTTGTCGCACACCCAAAGTACTTAGCATATGTCTTCCACATGTTGATACAGTTATTCCTCAGCTTCCTTTCTGTTTGTTAATTCTTTTTTAAACTCAATGCTCTGCCCTCAGCTTCTCCAGAGGTTGCTGGATGACCGCAAATCCACCGTGGAGATGATCAAACGGGAGGGAGAAAAAATTGCCGACACAGCAGAACCCGCGGATAAAGTGAAGATCCTGAAACAACTGAATCTGCTGGACAGCAGATGGGAGGCGCTGCTCAGTAAGGCCGAAACAAGGTAACCCAGTGCCTCCCGTCTTCTGGAAGAGCAGCGGTGGCTTTAATCCAGATTTCTTGTCTTTGGGTAGTGCTTCCCTCTGAATTGCTCTTCTCCTGTGTTTATCATGTATGTGAACCTAGGGCTGTGGTGTCTCCCTCCTCATCCCTCTGGTGGTAAAATGTCTTGTGGTCCCCAGACAGATGCCAATGCTTTAAGTGTTTCCCCTGGGGGGTCATTCGTTCATCTGTGTATTAGGTAGTCACTGCCTGCCTACCACGCGTCTCATGGGGTGAGCTGGCTGGATCCTCTCTGCCCGCAGACAGGGCACAGCTGGCAGGGCTGCATAGCCATTGACGGGTGATACAGATGTGGTAGTTCAAAGCAAAACCTGCACCCAGGGTACCGTGGAAGTTTTCATAAGAAGAGCCAGCCTGGGGCGGGAAGGTGACAGCTGAGCTCTGTTTTGCAGGAGGAGCAGGAGTCGGTTCGGCAACAAGGCAGGTGGAGGGCGCTGTGATGTTACAAGGGTGGAAGCCGGGAGCATGGCCCTCCCCGGGCATCTGCGCTCCACGCTCTTTGATTACATCCCTTCGTTTTCTTCCCTGGCACCTTGTTGACCAGTGTCAAGTCATAGCGGCATCGAAATGTCACTCCGTAGGCTGGTTGGGTTGGAAATAGAAGAGCCGTGAAACAGAAAGAGATTCTCCAGATGTTCCTACCTCCTCTGGAACTCAAATGGTGCAGGGAAGGGTTTGTCTAATCCTGAAGTACGAAGTAGAAGGATTTACCATTCTAGGACCGACTCAGGTGTTCTTAAGGAGGTGGAAGTTTCATGTTATCATGGAAGTTGCTTGTGTGTCAGTAGATTATTCCTTCTGTGTGAAGCCCCAGGGCCTTGTGCCCTGGCTGCCGTGAGAGGGACTCTCAGTCCTTTTTGTAAATAGATGAGTGAGTGTCTCGATCTCTGGCCTTTTCCTAACCCTTCCTCACAGCGGTATTGAACTGGGGAAAGATGGTGGTCATATTATGATTCACACACAGATCAATAGATTCCCTCACAATTTAAATCATAGTAAGTTAAACCTAATCACAAAGTAATTTCCACTGATTCTAGATGATTGGATATTAGAATTTAGCAAAAAGAATCATAGGAAATGATAATGCAGAAGTCAAAAATAGTATGGTGATTTTTTTCATTTTTGAAAGATCAAGTGTATTTCAACTGAATATTTTTACATATGTGCATATTTATGCATATTTTAAAACATATGCACATGTAGTTGGCGATGTAATGATAGAGAAATTGTTGTCAGTGGCATGTACCACTTTTCCATAATTCCCTTCATCCCCATGGAAAGCTCATTTCTCAAATCATGTAATTCCCCAAGAATTAAATGTGCTGACAAGACAGCCACTCTGGGTCCCCGCTGAAGTGAGTCTTAGGACTGGGCACTGAATCAGGTCCTCTGTACACAGGCTGGCACAATCACTTGCCCTCGATAAACACTGAGGACAGTGGAGGTAGGTTTCAATTTCCGAGGTACCTTTTTAACAGAGGGAACGGTGAGTTTTCGAAAAGCATTTCAAACTACATGACAAGCAAGAGTCTGAGGGCATATTTCTCCTCTTTCATGATGTCTTAGCCCAAGGATCATTAACTATTGCTTTGGGGAAATATACCTGCCAGTGTGCTTTTTAAAGGAGGAACCACCCATAATCCACTGTGAATGCTGTTTGCATCCAATTTTGACCATTTGATTACAGCCAACTCAGTGACTGGGGCTCTGACTGAAGTTAGTTCATGATAAAGCACAGGACGTCTGTTCAGTAAATATTACCTATTCTTAACCATCATCATTACTGCTCTTGGTATTACAACTTTACTATTATTATAACTGTTTCACTGTAAGAATTATAACCAGGTTACTTAAAATGTTCGTAAGATTCAGGCACTGGAGGTTGGTCTGTTCAACTATAATTTTAGTTAATAAGAGAACTAATTTTATTTAATAGTGGAACTATTTTAAAATATCTTTTACAGATTTTTTTTTTTTTGCAGGGGGTAGGTAGGTTTATTTATTTACTTGGTTTTTCAGTGGAGGTCCTGGGGATTGAGCCCAGGGCCTCGTGCATGCTAAGCACGTGCTCTACCATTTGAGCTATACCCTCTCCCCCTTTAAAGTGCCTTTTAGATGTGAGAGGTTTTCATTCTAACCCAAGATGTTTTGTGCACAAACTGCTCAGCGTGGGTTGCAAGGGCCCGAGTGGGGGTTTCTGTTGACTGCTCTCCCACGTTCCTCATTCCTGAACGCCCTGCATCTTGGCCCATTTACAGGAATCGTCAGTTGGAAGGTATCTCAGTGGTAGCCCAGCAATTTCATGAAACCTTAGAACCGCTCAACGAGTGGCTGACGACCGTGGAGAAGAAGCTGGCAAATTGCGAGCCCATCGGAACCCAGGCATCCAAGCTGGAGGAACAGATCACGCAGCACAAAGTGAGCCTCCCGCCCCGTGTCAGCCAGACCCTGTTTTCCATTTCCTTTGCGGTTTTATGACATACGTTTGCATCCCGTCTGCATCACTGCAGACGTAGACCCGCTTCATGAGCCATCCTTTCGTTCTGCTTTATGTTTCCATTTTTATTTGTCCATTCTTTTTTTTTTTTCTTTTTCGTTTCTCTTCTTCTCATCTCCATTTAGGCCTTAGAAGATGACATCCTCAGTCACAGTAAACATTTACACCAGGCCGTTAGCATCGGCCAGTCCTTAAAGGTTTTGAGCTCCAGGGAGGATAAAGATTCGGTGCAGCAGAAATTAGACTCGTGTCAAGTGTGGTACATTGAGATGCAGGAGAAGAGCCGCTGCAGGTCTGAGCTGCTCCAGCAGGCCCTGTGCAATGCTAAGATTTTTGGGGAAGACGAAGTGGAGCTGATGAATTGGCTGCACGAAGCACACGACAAGCTGAGCAGGCTCTCGGTCCAGGACTACGGCCCCGTGGGGCTGGGCACGCAACAGGCCGAGCTTCGGGTATTTTGATTTATTTCGTTTTTGTTCATTTCAGTTATCTTTGTTTTCTCAGTTCTCCTGATTTCTGTATTATTTTATGTTCCTCGTTATGACTTAGATGACTCGCTACACACTCCAAAGAAGACTTGGCCTGGGTTTACAATTACTTTTATTTTTTTTATTTTTTGGTTATGTTAGCCATCATTTCTTTTTGCTTTTTGCTTTTTTTTAATTAAATCTTTTTGAGTTAAAACAATTTTTTATTGAAGTATAGTCGATTTACAATGCTGTATTAATTTCTGGTGTACAGCATAGTGCTTCAGTTATACGTCTATACGTTTTCATACTTTTTTTCATTATAGGCCATTCCAAAGTATTGGTTTTAGTTCCCCGCGCTCTACAGTAGGGCCTTGCTGTTTATCTGTTTTATACATACAAGTAGTTAGTATCTGCAAACCCCGAACTCCCAGTGAAGCCACGTTTAAGAAGAGACTGAATTGATCCAGTAGGTGGATTTTTCACCTTTCATTTTGTCATGTCATCATTGTATACACAGACCTGTACGTAATAAACCCATCCTCCGAGGTTCCCACCTGGCCACGTTTTCTGAAGAGGGGAGTGAATTATGAACACAGGACGGAGGCGCAGTGGTGGAGAAAGGCGGGGTAAATGCGAGAACAGTGAGGGATATTTGAAAATGTGAGGTGTCTGGTCCAAATGAAACCTAATTAAAATTCTCTGGGGTTAACAGGTAATGCCAATGTGTCTTTAAATTTCTTTTTCCCATGTAAAATGGTACCTGTGTTTTAGGTTCTGCAAGAGGACATCCTACTCAGAAAACAAAACGTAGATCAGGCGTTACTGAATGGTCTAGAACTACTTAAACAGACAACAGGTGAGACGTCTCTAAGACAAATCATCGAGCAGTGAGCATTTTGCCTTGCTTTCAAAATATTTTAGAGACGGGGTTTAAAAAAAAAACACTTTATAATTCGGGGGCCACTCCAAGACTTCATCCTGGAGAATGCTTTGAAGGCCGATCAAGGAGGTTTTTGGAATATGATTTCACTTTTTTTTTCTTCTCATGATCTCACTGAGTTCTTAACAGAAGTTTTGTGAATTACTCATAATGCCAAGCACTGGGGCCCAGGAGGTGGTCAGAGGCTCCCTCGGTGGAGTTAAGTTAGTTTTCCACTTACGGGAGGCAATTGTTCAAATGAGCACGTAGGTTGTGGATGGTTTTTTGTTTTTAATTTTAAGATAGACGGCATTCCGTGGCGCACAGTGTAACTGTCCGAGGCTTCCTTCTCCATGCTTGAACTCACTAAGGAAACAGACCCTAGCTTGTTTAAGTCATTCCACTGGGCATAGGAGAGTCTCACTGGACCTATATTGAATTCAGTGTATGTACTTGGAAGGGGTGAGTACCAGTTCATTATGAACTGGAAGGGTTTGGTTTAGTATTTAGAGCCTTGCCCTGAAGTCTGAAGCCCGGGACACAGTTCCTCTGTGTGTCTGAAATTAAATGGAGGCACAAGAAGACGTAATGGAATAGCACAGATGACTTTATTATGTTGAACACACACGCACGTACATAGATTATACACATGAGCACACATGTGCCAGGCACTGTTCTAAACACTTTGCAGATAGAAACTCATTGCATTTTTATCCCAACCTTATGAAATAGGTTCTCTCCTTCTCCTCACGCAATGATGTGTCACCAGGGACACAGAGGTTCTGTGTCTCAGGCAAGATAATAAGCCACAAAGTTGGCGTTTGGACCCCAGGCTGTGGTTAACCCCTGTGCTTGAACACGGAAAGCATCATGCCACGGCGGTCCTTCCCATGTCACGGAAGGCACCGCAGCCCTTTACTGGTTTTATATTTACATTTTCAGAGCAGTTTACCTTCGCCGCAAAATCCTGGGAAAGATTCAAATTGAGGGAGGGGCTTTTCTGGGGTCAGCACCTCTTTAGAGAAAGGTCTCCTCACCCCCAGCCCCGAAAATCTCATCAGCATATCACAGCATCTAAAGGACTCCCTCTTCCCCTTTCGTTCTTTTTTTGGGGTGGGGTAATTAGATTTATTTATTTAATGGAGGTGCTGGGGATCGAACCCAGGACCTCGTGCATGCTGAGCACGCACTCTCCGCCTGAGCTATACACGCCACCAGCCCCTTTCCTGAGATGTAACATGCCTTTGAAATTTTAGGTGATGAAGTTTTAATCATTCAAGACAAGTTGGAGGCCATTAAAGCCAGGTACAGAGACATCACCCGACTGAGCACGGAGGTGGCCGGGACCCTGGAGCAGGCCCTGCAGCTGGCGCGGCGGCTGCACACCACACACGAGGAGGTGTGCGCCTGGCTGGACAAGGTGGAGGTGGAGTTGCTGTCCTACGAGACGCAGGATCTGACGGGAGACGCTGCCAGCCAGGCACACGCCAGGCAGAAAGTACGCTCTGCTTTGTGCACGGGGGGTCCTCTCGCTACCTTCCAGGGAGCGTTCCTTGCACAGGAACGAGACCGTATTTATCGCACGTCATTTCTCGTGTGCTGAGGGATGCCTTGGTGGGCGGGGACCCATCCGAAATGGACACCATATCAGCTCTCGGGATTTCAAGGAGCCCCGAAAGATGAAAATGGCATGTTTGCATTTGTTTCTCGACTCTTAGGGTGGGAGTCAAATTTATTACCCTAGGAACAGAATGATGAAAACAGAGGGAAAAAAAGGAAAATGATCATTGTTTCAGAGAGAATGCATACCTTCGTTAGAATAACAGTATCTCTACAGGACAGATGGAAAACACGAGGTGGCTTCTCTAATTACGCTGCAATAGTGTCTTTTCCCCCCTGCTGATCATCCTTCTCAGGGGTCTCGGCCTCTGTTTTCATCATCCCTGAAGGAGGAGCACGGGGGAGGAGGAAGTTGCTGGGGTCCGGCTCACCCAGCCTGTAACGACTCCGCGGGCGAGATTTAAAGCTGACGTGGGTCCTCGTCTTGAGGGTGACTTGACTCTGGGCTTGGACTTTCCTTTTTGTCTTACTTTTCTGCTATCTGATTACTGAGAGGTTATCAGCGAGCAAAGAATGAGTACATGTGGAACTTGCTTGATTCGGGTTCCCAACTTTTAAACATTCATCATACGTTTCAAAGATAAAACTCCTGTGGTGTTGACAAATGATTGGTTCTTTTGAACACCTCAGGAAACACTTTCTTTTCTGCAAAATAGCTTTAAGCAGCTGAGGTTTATAGAGCTGACTGAGACGTAGGGGACCACGCCAGCGCATCGCATCAGCCTGCGAAGGGCTTCAGCCCCGAGCACAGTTAGGGGAAGGGCCTGTCCAGACTCCTCAGCGTTGCCCACGGGTGTGGACGTTTCCTTCCTCCCGTTTCCAGGAGCTGAAGAAGGAAGCCAAGAACAGCAAAGCCCTGCTGGACTCGCTTAACGAAGTGAGCAGCGCCCTGCTGGAGCTGGTGCCCTGGAGGGCGCGGGAGGGGCTGGAGAAGATGGTGGCCGAGGACAACGAGCGCTACCGCCTGGTGAGCGACACCATCACGCAGAAGGTGGAGGAGATGGACGCGGCCATCCTGAGATCCCAGCAGGTATGGCGGGCGGGCCTCTAGGCAGGGCCTCTCCCCGTGTTCCCAGAGCCGCCCCCCGGGCAGAGGTGGCCATCGGTAGTGTCACCACTTGTTGGTCACGCTTCACAAAAGAGGAGGGATTGGAAAGGGATCCAGCGGGGTTCCGAGGACATCCGAGTGCCGGGCAAAGCTGATCTGTAGTGAGCTGATGGCTGGATGCCTCCGGGTCCCCGAACCTCGTCCTCACCAGGTCATCCACCTGGAGGACCAGCCCCGCCCCCTGCTCTCCAGACAGAATGCCTTTCATCTGCACGGGTGCACGTAGCTCATGGTAACTTTACGCCCTGGTTAAGTCTCCTCTGTGTGAATCAGTATTTTGAGTTACTAACTCTGCATCTTCCTATGTGGCCAGGAGAGGCTGCGTCCTTTCTAAAAAGGAAGCAGTGGTGTTGGTAATGGAGACTTTCTCTGAAGATGACTGAAGGGGGAAAAAATGATCCTTTCTGACCCGTCTGCATCTCGTACAGGGTTTAGAGTTCCAGAGTTTCCTAGGCCCCCGCCGTGAACCACAGCCCTCTCAGGACACTGTGGGCAATGCGTGGGGTCCTGGAAACCCAAGCTTGTAACACAGGTTTTGATTAACTTTTATGGAAATCTCTGAGTATTCGTTAAGTCATAAGACTGTCATTGCGGGCTTTCTCTGCCGGGGTCGGTGTGGTTTTGCCGTGAACTGTAGGCCAGGGCTGGGGAAGGTAGGTGACTAAGCTCTTACTCGTCCAAGCCAAAAGCAAGGAACACAAATCAGATGGTGCGGGAGCGTCCAAAATTCATTTTCGCAGCTGACCGTAGAAGTGTGATTTATCTAGTTCCGAAGCCTTGATGCCTCGCTCCTCGTTTCAGTGGTGTGCTCTCGGGGAAAAAAAAAGTGTGCTCTTATCGCAAAAGCAGATGAAATAACGCCAGCAAAAGGCCTGCCTGAGACAGCTCTGCCAGGGAGGCCTTGATGCCCGAGGGCTGCGTGTGCACGGCTCCGTTTTCAAAGTCTGGAGGAATTTGAGTGCCTCGTTAGCACAGGGAAGTAAGCCTGTTGATTCATGAAGTTCATTCAACTATTGGAAAATAGTTGAATGTTTTTCACCAGAATGTATTTCATCCTTGCAAGGTTGGCACTGAAGACTTCTCTAAATAGCCAGACAGAGAGCCTATCCTCGTGGGAGTATGATTTTTCTTGAGAAGAAGAATGTGGTTGGCTCGTCCCTTGAAGGAAGGCAGGTGACAGGCTCAAAGCTCTGCCCTGTGCCAAGGTCATTAAGCTGTCACCCAGTTCTATTCAAGGTTTTGCACATATTTTCAACATGAAAGTCACCGGGTCGGTATGTGTTTTCCTAGAACCCAAAACATCTTTAGGAAAATAACAATAATTGGGGTTTTTTTCCCCTAATAAAATCATCCCTTATTGAAAGTTTCAGGATTTTCTCAACGAATACAGAAAAACTCATGGAAGAAAGACAGTGTGAACACTGTGGTCTGTATCCTCCAAGCCGTCCTTGTGAGAGAGAATGGAGAGAGGGTTTAGGGAAAGCATCTCTCTGCCAGAAGGTCATGCAGCTAACATTAGGGGCATCCCTGTCTCGCCATCTTCTGGTTGTTCGTATGTATTTATTCTGCACTTACATGTGCGTTCCTTTGACATGCCTGCAAGTCTTCCCAGGGAAGTAACCTCCCAGTAATAAAGAAAACCAACAAAAAGCACTTAAACCAATTACAAAAAAAAAAAAAACAGAAGGAAAGAAAAAGAGATACACCTTCCCAGTAAGGCTGAGCTGCACCATTTAGGGCTGGGAGGGGCGTGGACAGTGTGGGATGAGGTGACTTGCCTGCAGTCTCCGTAGGCATTTCAACCAGAACTTAATCTGGATCTCGTTCTACCTCACTGGAGTGCCTCTTTGTATATCAGATAGAGAGGGAAAGTCCTATGGGGTGATTTTTTTTTTGATAATCTCCCTCAATAATCTTAAGGAAGGTGCCACTGTTTCAGCAAGATGGAGGTATGTAACAAAGGTATTTCCAACCATAAGGACTTTGAGACATGGCTTGTGCACTGAAAGGGTCATGAAACATCTCTTACTCTCTAGGCAAATTTAAGAACAAACCGGTACCTGTCTTTCTGGTTTGGCAGAAATTCAGTTTTGCACTCAAAAGAGTAGTTTCCAAACCCCTAATTTTCAAGTTTATTAAGGAGCTGATATGTCACTGAAACTATTTTATAACCTTGCCCCATAGAGATGTTTGGAATTAGGTGGGACCAGAGAACGGTTTGATACTGCAACATTTGTTTTCTGTTTACCCAATGATCATACATCCATGAAATACAAAAAGAATGATGCAGAAGGGGGAGGGTGTAGCTCAAGTCGTAGAGCACATGGCTTAGCATAGCCAAGATCCTGGGTTTAATCCCCAGTACCTTCTCCAAAAAAAGTAAGTAAGTAAACCTAATTACCTCCCCCCAAAAAATTTTTTAAAAAAAGAATATTAAAAAAAAGAATGATGCAAAAAAAAACTTCAGACTTGGATGTCAGCCACATACTTTGTGCTGTTTGTTTTAAGTTATATAAACGCATCACCTGCTGTTCTTTTCTTCTCCGTCCGAAACGTGGACGTGATCTGACCACAGCCCATCTATTTGTTTTATTGACAGCTTCTCCTCCCAGATCCCTCCCCCCACCTACCCAGCCACAAGTGATGGGGTGAGGATGGGTGCCTGGAACATGACTGGGGAATTTTCCAATGTATAGATTTAATCATTTGTCCCTGAATAACCTGATGAAATGAAACTAGATTTAAAATCCCCGAATGTGCTGCTTTCCAAGCAGATTTCTCTTAAGATGTTCGAATCTTTTGACATTAAGCTTGTTTACGAACAGACCTACCTCCTTTATAAGGTGATAACCTGCGTTTTGGAATTCAGGTGTGGAGGGACTTCAGGGTAACGGTCAGGCCGCCATCCCAGAGGGTATTGGCTTCCCAACCTTGACATGAAAGATGTCAGACAAGGAAAAAGGTTAAGGTTGGAAGAGATTAGGAAAGGAAACATACAGATAACCTTCTGATTAGCATGTACTTCATAACCATCCTGCAAATTCAGTTTTCCAAGAAGTTCTGATTGGACATGCTTACATTTCTCATGGTAATTCTAATAACAGTTGTGAGAAGCTGTGTCACTGAAGTTTGATTTCACAAGGCCAACAGCCTTATGCAAATCCAAATGACATTTATTGTTATTTGGGAAATAATGGGACAGCCTCAGTCCCGAGCAAGTGCGTGGGAACTGTGTGCATTCAGTGCTTCCCGTTAAAAGCCCCCAAATCTGGCTCTTCTGATTTGCAGGCACCGATATCCTGAAAAAGATACTGGTTTTGCTTTTTTTTTTTTTAAATCGGGCCCATTCATAACTTTTGGGAAAGATCAAAGTGGACAGAGGCAGCTTGGTAAATAGTGATGGTGTGCTTTACAAAGAAACAAAACAGCTGCCTCCTCTGACAGGACATGCCGTTATCTGAGTTGGAAACTGGATGTAGTTTTGTGTGTCATGCCTACGCAGGGTCTTACATCTCTGCTGGTTTTCTTTTCTCGAATTGCACACTGAGCCAAACGAGCCACGTGGAAACGGGGAAAGGCGTGTTTACTTGAAGATGTTGTACAGACGTACAGCTGGAATTCAGGTCACTGGATTGTTTAAACCCAGAGCAGCTTGTCGTGCAGTTATCAATGTGCAGTTATTCATGTGCAGTTAACAAATGTGGAGTTATCAGAAGATGCTACAAGCTTGTATCTCACTGGGTCTGGGAATCCCAGGCACTCTTTGGCTGTTCCAGTCGCCTGGGTTATTTTATTGCACCATAATCATCCCCCAATATAGAGGCACATGATGCAATTAAAATAAACAGCTCATTGGGTCATTACAAATCAGCCTTGGAGAAAAATAGCACCTGTTTATTTCTTTTAAAGAATGAGAAGGAAGGGAGATTTGTTCAGCCTGTCCAGGTGTTGGCGTGGGAGAATGCAGGCTGCATTATGAATAATGTGAGGAACAAAATGGAAGGAAATGCTAATCAAAAGAAAGTGATAAGGTCCTCGCCAGGGGAAGGGAGTAAAAGGATGTCCTTGAGGTAAAGGTTTGCTTATCACTCTGTCTGACTTAAACCTCTGCTTCCACTCAAGGGAAACTTTCTAGAGAAGTACAAAAGCGATGTGTCGGAGATTGGAGAAAAATTTAAACAGTAAATTAAAACCTACCATTTTTTTTTTTTTTGACGGTGGTGGCATTTGAGCCAGTTTTGGTGAACTCACATGATTCTTTTTGAGTTCTTGAGCCCAAACCCTAGACAAGCCCAAGCAATGTGACAGGGTAACCACGAGTGCAGGGCTCAGACCACCGTGGTTCGAATCTCAGCCCCAGCGTTTACGCCCTTGTTGCTGAAAGGTCGGCCCCCATCCCTGACAAGCTGAACTGAAACTCAGAGACAGGGTCTTAAGAGCATAGAAGAAAAGAGACAGCTTTATTACTTTGCCGGGCAAAGGGGACTCACAGCCGGGTAGTGCCTTCAAAACTGTGACCCCACCTTGGGAATGGGGCAGGGTGGTTATACAGCCACAGCTCAAACAATAAAGCATCGATAAGCACCAACAGAATTATTTTCTTCTCATAAGGTTCAGAGTGG